GCGGGGGGCGAGGGGCGAGCTGAACTCGCCGTCCCTGAGCGGCAGAAGGGTCCCGCCCGCCCAGAAGAGGTCGAAGTGCCGCGGCAGAGTCGCCCGCGTGGGTGTCTCGGTCGGTGGATCAGGGTCCGCGTGTTGCGTGTTTTGGCAGGCAGCGCCGCTCTGAATCCGCGGGGAAGGGGCATCCCGGGGGGAGTAGAGCAGCTTGAGGCAGGACAAAGTACGTGCCAGCCTCGGAGCTTCCTCTCTTTCGGTTATTGGAAACGGGTGGTTTCGGTGTCAGTCTGAGACGCTGAGCATGTTACCTGCTTTGGAGGTTTTTTTCCTTCTGCACTGATTCCTCCTCAAGGTGGGATTGTCACAGTTCGTCTGCGTTCTGGGGCTGTTGGTCGCTAACCGTTTTGCCCAGGTATCGGCAGGATGTTACAATGCAGTGATTTGTATAGATTTGTTTACACACAGAGAGAAAGATAGTATAGGGAATGTATTTCTGTGTCTGCTGGAGGCTGCTTCTAGCTCCTAGAAACTTCTCCAAGACAGTGCACAATTATTTTTCTTTTACTGAGATCTCAGAGTACTGGGAGGAGCTGATTTTAAAGAATAGGCTTACAAGCCCCCAAGCACAGCTGCTAGTTGCCGTGTGGCACTTGTGTTCCCCATTTCCCAAGGGGCAGTGTGTTTATCACAGGAGCTGTCATTCCGTGTCAGGGTGCAGTAGGTTGTAATTTTTCATCCATCTCTGTCTTGTTCACTCCCTATAGTGACAATTTTTTATCATATCAATGCAAGTTTGCCTCTTCTTAGGTTGTTTGAAGCCTCCCTTATTGTAAACCTGCCTCTTGAGTCTTATCTCGATTTCTTCAAGCTTTATTGCTGCAGGTCTCTTTGATCTAGTATTAGGCCTTTAGGCAGGATAGCTTCAATCTAAAAAGCTTCTAGTCTTATGACCAAATATACTACAATATAAGTTGTTTTAAGCTCTTTCACCTCTTATCATCCAGGTGTGTATACACAGGCTTTAGCTCAGAAATCTTGCCAGAAATGGAATCTCAGTTGTGTTGTGTTCTCTGATAATTGGAGTGGGGGTTTTTGTGGTGGCGTGCTGGTTTGTTTTTTTTTTTTTAAATATTGATGTCTGCTTAAATCCCTGCTAATCAGAAATGCAATGTTTATCCTCAGAATTCAGCTGGGAGAAAATAAATACTACTTTTACCCTTACAAGAATTTCGATTAGTGTGATATCTAACCTGTGAAATTAGGATGAAAAGGGCAAGTGAGGTAATCAGAATAACTCAGTCACCTACCATATATCATGCAAAGGCTGGAAATGCTGTCAGAAGACTGAACACTGTAGGAAATCTGTTATGCACAAGTCTCTTCAGCAAGTGATTTGTTGGTGGTACAGTAGGCAGTATAAAATGCCAGCCTGTAAGTTGTCAAGAAAAGGGAAGAGGTCATAGTGCAGTTAATTCCCCAAACAGGAAGCCTGTGCTGTGCTTCCCAGAATATGGTCTGTGATCAGCCAAAGGGCAAAGCCAGTTGGGAAGCTTTTGTGGGCTTCTACTCATTTAGGCATTACTCAGTGCCCTTCTGGTATGGAGCAGAAAAGGTGATACAGGAATAGACCTTGGTATGTTGCAATTTATTTCCCAGCTACAGCTGAATCGCATGCAAATGTGCCTCATTGCCTGGGAAAACCCCTAGCTGCCTCAAACCTAGTCTTTTCTGGAGAGAAGGAGGAAGGGATGGAATTGTGTCTTTTGTCCCATGCTTTTCTCAAAGGCTGCCTTTTTAATTGTCTAATTTCCTAGAGTTTCCTATAATACGAATGTAAGTCTTTTTCCATCATATAGGTAAGGACCTTAATTTCACATCCATCTAAATTCAAAGTTTTCCTGTTGTGAAAGCAGGAAGCTTTAGTTTTCCAGGTTTCCTCTTTTCCCCATATACCCTCATGGCCTTTTTTTTTCCTTTGTGAGGGCTAGATCCACACCAATGGGTGCGGGCTGCTGTGAGCTCTTCAGGGTGTGCCCTGAGTCTGAGGGATACGAGCCAGCTCTCACCCAGGAGCTGTGTAGCACATTATCACCACATTGTGCTGAACAAACCGTGGTGGGCATAGCCCTGGTTTTCATGCAGCTGTGCCCCAGCACAGCCATATTACTTCTGAATCAGACCAGCTCACATCCAAAGGGTCAGTCTTAAATGGTATATAACTGGCAGAGAGAATATAGTGAACCCAAGGTTTACTTTGAGTTTCCTAGTATTGGTGTGGTAATGTTTTTTGTTTGTTTGCTTGTTTTCTTTTAAGTGATAGAGACCACCTCCTGAAAGAAGCCGAGATATTGCACAAAGCCAGGTTTAGTTACATTCTGCCAATTTTGGGAATTTGCAACGAGCCTGAATTTCTGGGGATAGTGACTGAATACATGACAAATGGGTCATTAAACCAGCTATTACATGGGGTAAGTCTGCTTACAGTCTTTAAATATGATACCTGGCTCCCTCAAATAGATTATGATTTGTATACTTAATTATTATAGTAAAGTGTATTTTTAATAATTCACATTAAAAGACACTCATTATCACAAGTAGTTTTTGGTGCTCAGATAGAATTTCTGTATGTCGGAAAGACAACCAAACTCAGCAGACTTAAGTTTTATTAGACTTTTTCTTTTAGTGTCGTGACCTATAAATAGCCTTATGTTGAATTATTATACAGTCACTTTAAAAATCTTTGTTCTGTAATTAGATGCTGAAATGCTTGCTTCAGCCTGGATTTCAGAATTATTGCCACTATAAATACTGAAGGGTTTTCCTGAATTTGCATATTTCTGAAAAATAAATTGAGTATTTTGACTTTAGTTTATAAAAGCCAAATATTGCTAGTCTAAGCAAATAAGGATATTTCTACCAGGTCTTACTCTAAGTTCTCCTGTGCTGAAATCTCAGCTGCTTCCATTAGCAACATCTGTTGCTACTGTAACGCTACTGCAGTTATGTCTCAACAGCACTGCAGTCTCTTTTGCACCTTTAATCAATACATATTTTGTTCCTTAGAGTGCTCATCCATGTGTTGTTCATGAAGGCATTAGTGTCAATATAACTTTTCAGATTTCAGTTGAGTTTTACTGCCTTTTTCTTGATGTGTTAGTATTTATAAAGGAGGTGTTTTGTGCTTAGTTTCAGCACAGCTTTTTTTTTCCCAATGTCAGTCGAAGATATGATTCTTGCCTTCCTTTGTGTAGTATCCATAATCTGTGGGTTGCAAGTTTCATGCAGAAGTTCATCTGTAATTCATAGTTCCATATATATAAGTACTGTAGTAAATGTTCTACATCACGTATAGCAGCCATGAACTATTATGTGAATGCTAGGGAATGGAAACATAACACTGCATGATTAATATGTATATATTTGTTTTAGCAGCTAACTAGTCCTAATGCTCAATTACAATTTTTAAGGAGTTCATGTAATGTATGTTTGAAAAGATGACTGGTTGCCCAAGTCACATCCTTCTATAAAATAAGTCTTTGTGCTGTGCTGTTAGATTAGAATGGAGGATTTTATGCTGGTTTTATGGTTTTATCTTGACAGAAAGATGTATATCCTGACATTCCCTGGTGCCTGAGATTCCGTATTCTTTATGAAATTGCTTTGGGAGTAAACTATTTGCACAACATGAATCCTCCATTGCTGCACCATGACTTAAAAACCCAGAACATTTTGCTGGATGATGAGTTTCATGTCAAGGTAGAGTTATTTCTTATGTTCGTCAGGATTCAGAATGAGTGAAAGTGTTTTAATTACTGAAGAGGAGGAAGAATGAAGTTGTGGTTGTACAAAGAGGATGTTACTGTGTGCCAGATGTTTTCTTCTATCCTTGCAGACAGAACTTCTGAGATTTTCGTTTGAAAACTCTTATGCTGCTCAAGTGTGGATTTTATCTATCTCACCAGAAAGACAGAATTTGGGCTGTTTCTGCTATAGCAGTAGCTGATAGTCAATAGTAGTGATGCTCTTGTATATCAGCCTTCCAAGGGTAGCTACATCTGGCTCTTTCTGAGAAGAAAATAGTGTTCCTGTCTGAGGTGCTCAGAGAAGTTACTTATGCAGGACAGTACATCAAATTCAAATGTTAATACCCCCATTTGGTATATATACTATACCAGCCAAGTAAATGGAAATAAGAGATATTTTTCGCAGAATTTATACTTGAATGGTGAATGTTTTGGTTGTTACCATGAGATGAATCTTTTGAGCCAAGATCAAAGATCCAGTGCTGATTTCTGCTTTTTCCACTGCACAGAAGTTTTTCTTGGCAGCAAAGTGCCTCACGTGGCTCTGTCTCCACTCACACCCTCAGCAGGTCATACCTCCTCCCACTTAGTTGTGCTGGTACTGCCATCTCTCGAGATTCCTGATAAACCTGATCAGGGAACTGGTCCAAGTAATTTTTTTATCCACTCTTTTTTTAATCCTTGACAGCATTGGTGTGATCTGGTGCTCTGCCTGATCGCTTCTAAATAGTTGCTTTGCTGGAGCAATTGCATACCTGCCCTGCCTCCTGCAAGGAGTGTCCTTAGGGTTTTAGTGAAGCAAGATTCTCTAAATTAGGACAGCTGGCAGGAAATGCAGGGGAGATTATTGTGCATGCCAAATAGAGGTACTGCATATGCATAAAAGTAACACTACTCATAGAGTGCTTCTGGCTGTCCCATAGCTACTGAATGAGCAAGAATGAAGACCAGTTACACTGAGGAAGGCTTGATAGAGTGAATTGTAGAGAAAAAAAATTACTTTTCATTGTGGATTTTGACTGTATGCTCTTCAGAGAGCTTGTTTCTGTTACCTGAGTTGCCACAGTGCTTGCACAAGCATCTTTGTTGAAAATGTTCTTGCTCTTATGCAGATGCCAGAAGAATGCAGAGCTGGTAGCTAGAGGCTTATCTCTGCAGCTCAGCCAGCAAGTGTATTCTACTGGCTGTTTGTCTATCAGCCAATAACCTAGTCTTGACATCTTGACTTCTGGATGTCTGAGGATGTAAACTGAAGTAAATTGATTCTTTATGTACATGTACTGTAACCTGTAGGAAGGAACAAGGCCCAAGAATGCACAGTGAAGAAAATATTCAGCAGTTTTTTGCAGCACAGAATTTCAGAATATCAAATTTATTAATTTGGGGTTAATAGTTCATCATTTTGGGAGTGTGGTGAAGTGCCCTAAAATTTTTCTGTGAGAGGAATTACCTTGGGATATTGGCAAGCTAAGTTATGTAGAGCTATTACAATTTATACTAAGCTTGTGCTTTCTTCACAACCAGGGAACTAGAAGTAATCAATGGGGGTTTTATTTGCATTTTTTAACCCAAGAAAGTGATTTTCTTCATATGGGACAGATTCTCCATCCATAGAGTATATGAGTCCTTCCTTAAAAAACAGAATAGGGCAGTGCTATAGAGAGAGCATGAGTCATGAGCTGGGAGTGCTTCCTGAACTGGAGCTGATGTTTCCTGTTGCTAGGACAACCACATATTTTTGTAGGTCAAGTTAAGGACTTTGGTTGTCCCTTTCTTCAGGACATATTTCAGGAATTTCTAACAACTGTCAGCAGATAAATCTAGTTTCTCTTCTCAGAACAACTGGTTTGTGCTTTCCAGATTGCAGACTTTGGCATGTCCAAATGGCGTGTCATATCCATGTCCCAATCACGAAGTGAATCCTCTTTGCCAGAAGGAGGGACCATTATCTACATGCCACCTGAAGATTACAACCCCAGTCAGAAAACCCGGGCAAGCGTGAAACATGATATCTACAGGTAACTCATGTTGTTCTCAAGTGAGCTTTGCAATTGGAATTCATATGTGATTTACTGAACTTGGATTTTAACACATTCTCAGCAATTTTATTATTTTCAGTAGTAGTAGTATCATAGGTGTATAGGCAAAATGAGTTGGGAAATAAAGAATTGAGTGATATCTGGATTTATTGATTAATTTCTTTACACTGTCAGAGGTGTAATGCTCCAGAAATTAAGCTGAAACTACAGAAACAGAGGATATTGATTTCTATAAATGAGTGTACATACACAGACAGTGTAGGGGGAAAAAAAGCCTGTTCACACCATTGACTCAATGCGCATACCCTTACAATTTGTGCAGATCAATTAGCATAATTTTGCAGAATGTACTCGGGAAAGAACAAAACATACTTTTGGAGAGGGGATAGGAAAAAACAGGGTAGTGGGCCTCTAGGAGGCATTTAGAGGGGTTTCTTTAAGGACTAACTTAATAAAAGTTTGGGTAGATTTTTGTCAGTCAGTTCTGAGTAGAAGAATGGTAATGACCCATATCACAGAACACGATTGCTCTGAGGATATTAGAGTTACAGTTAGGTAGTCTAAAATGGCTAAGATCACTTGAACAGTTTTGGAGGGAGTTGCCATACGTACATGGAGATTGAAGAGGCATGAAGAGAGACCTGTCACCATGATTAAGTCCCATCTCTCTGCTGCAGTCTACAGCCTTTACCCTGAGCGATCTCTGACAGGGTTGTGTCTTGGTGAGAGATTACTTGATCTCAGAGGATCTTACTGACTTAGAGGAAGACCACTGTTTCTTTTAATTATCTCTTACTGTTAAGGGGCACATGAAGTTCCTTGACATTCCTGTCATTTTAGTTTTGGAATTACTAGATTTATTCCTCACACGAAATTCCTGTTCTTAAATAGGAAAGTCAGATTTAGGTTTTTTACATTATTTTATTTTTTTAATAAATTCATTGATTTATTATTAATGAATTCAGTGCTTAATTTAAATGAAATCATCTAAACTTGTTTAAATTCCAGAGTTGTTTAAAGTGACTGTTTTTTGTATATCCTGATAACTGAAGAGAGTCACTAGCCTACTAAAGATGCAGCAAGTTTGCATTCACTGATCTGTTTCCTATCCATGTTGATGTGAATGGTGGGAGCTCCTACCAAACCCTAACAGAATGGTAAAAAATGTCACTGGTTTGAGTAATCAGATGTGTGTCAGTCTCCTAGTGGTAGTTCAGGGTTGTCTTCCCAGAAGTCTGTTCTGAAAAGTGAATGCTCTGTGTGACATTTCTCCCTGTAGAGAAGATTGCATATGTTGAAAGCATGTGTATATGGGGGCAAGCTGGAGTGTGCTTCTCGAGTGTAAGTCCATATCTTACCACACCATATCCAACTGTGTTGGGAT